ATTATCATTCTCACCCCTCCCACTTCCCTTTTCCATTATTTCTTTTTTTTCTCTCTCTCTCTCTCTCTCTTTCGTTATACTGGGGTTCGGTACACGATATATCTCTTTTTCTCTCATCTCGTTTGTTATTGTGTGTTCATCTTTTTTTGTGTTCCGTCCAATGGGGCATTCGTCATTGTATTGTTGCGGTACTGATGGGATGACGACCGAATATGAAATTCACACGGCATGGACACATGTCCAATCTGTAGGTCGGGCTTCTTGTTGGGGAGATATTTTCGATATATTTTTATGTTGAGAAAAATATTCGGTTGGAATCGTAGCATTTTTCATTGTCACTTCATTGTCTAAAGATGAATTATTGTGTGGAAGAATTCATTACTCTGATAATACATTCACTCATTGATAATAATTATTTATTTAAGCCAGTCCTAGAGGAGTCGCAGAGAAATAAGCGCAATCAATGGAAATACTTCCCTTCATTCCGCATGCCATTTACGAATTATGCGAATTTATTTTCATCGCGTTCACTTAAAAAAATGGAATTACTCATTTATCTTGATGTTTTATTATTGAATTTTGGGAATTTCAATTAGTAAAAAAGCGATTGGATGAAAGTTGCATGGTTGACGTGACCACAGCTCATTAGATTTAATTCAACACCTCCACGCGATCCCTGTCAACTGATAAAATTTCCCCCACCCAATTACCAGAGGAGATGAAAAAATTACGTGTATCGTTAATATTGTTTGTGAATAGCATAAAGAGATGAACGCGAGGTGGAGTAAAAAAATATTTCAAGGATGACTCGCATAATCGCGGGGTCCGTGGTACCTGTGGGGTACCTTGATGCATCGAGGGGCGTGACCGGGATGAATCCTGAAGAGGTAAAATAAAGGTAGTTTTCATTATATTATCCTGTGGATTCGTGTTTTGACATGTTTTGACAAACGGACGCCATTATAGAACGCGCCAAGAGTGCACGCTTCTTATTCCCTCCGACGGTGCGACCTAGGTGGGCCTTCCAAATCATTGAACATTAACCACATTCTTTCTCACTAGTTTTTTTATAATAAAAAAAGTGTCATTTTTCTGCATTATGGAGAGAGAAAATTAGTAGCACATTCCCTGGACACTTGCCAATCCATTGTAATTACAAACTTACAAAATTATTGTCGTATCGTGGGTTTTGAGAAATTTTTCTTGCGCTTATTGGAAATGGGATAGTTAAATTAATTAAAACACAGTTAATAAACTCTAATCACTATTTTTTTTATTAAAATTGCACGAGGAAGAATAACGCCTGAACTCCATCAATATCTCCAAGAGACTGAAGACTAGCCACAAAGATCATAAGAATATTCGTCACCAAAGAAAGAACCCTACAATGGTTTCTTGTAAAACCATTGTTTATGTTTATACAAACTCTGAGGCGACTCCATGGAGCCCACCATATCGATTAATTTTTGTAATCATCATAAATCAGTTCAATATATTTCTAGAAATTTTAACTTGATATTCTACCAGCGATCTCCAAATGATTTCGCCAACAATACAATAATAAAAATGTTTATTTTCTATTTACTTATGTATACATATTTACTACATTTCCATACATTCACTATAAAATCACATAATGGATAATAAATGAATAGATAACAGCAAAAGCGTGACACATCCGTGATCTGCAAGAAGTTTATCAGATCATGTGAACACTCTGGCTCCAGTTAATTTATTAAATTAATTACAAAGATGTATAAGTCACATATAATTATCAGGAGAGACAGATTTTTGGGTGAGGATTGAGACGCGCAATCGATCCCTCGAAAAATGGTACATGATACTGTACATGTATATACACTGCGTTCCTCCCCCTCGTACATATAAAATAATAGAAGAGTGATATAATGAATAAAAAAAAATAGTAAACACGCTGTACATACCGAGGCCGATTTTCCCGGAGGTTTTGAAGCACCGGTTGTTCTCTCTGCCTGTTTGCCAATAATTTCCTTCGTTAACGCGCCTCCACGAGGGCGCTCGTTACCCTTGCTTTGAACGACCGCTATATTGCGGCTGCCCTGCGGTTCGTTAACTATTTCCACGGGTTCTTTGAGATATACTGTACATAATGTACTATATAGATGCACACATAGATATCCTGACGACCTCGAGACTCCATCCCCTGCAGGTGGTGCCCTCTGCCGAGATGCAGCGACCGAGCTGATTATTCTTGGCGATACTTTTTCCTCTTTTTTATTTTCATCCTAATGATACTGAAAATGCTGCAGGCATCATGTCGGCTAACGACGTCAATACACTTATTCCTCTGTATGGACTTGTAGTTTTTTTTTTCTGCTTCGCCAAGGCGTAACCAAACAGCTAATCGTCAGATGCACGCCCCTACACGCGCTATGTAATGAATACGTTGATAGCGCGAGTTGTAGAAATACCCATGAGTGAATTTCCGAGGTGCATTTACTTCGAGGTACTTCTTTGATGAGAAGTCTGAGCCCCGGCGATATGTACAACCCTCGGTTTAATCCGGATGAAATGATAATCGTTGTCCTTCGTGAGGCGCAGTGTTGCCAGGTGGGAGTTTTTTTTTTATTTTTGTTTTTTTTTGAAAATGTCTTCTTTGATTTTATATTTTATGAAGTCACGATCGATTCAGGACAGGGGATAACACGGGGTTAACACTTTGAATAGCTTTGCATTCAGTTGTCAAAAACAGGTGATTTTTTTTTTTTTATCGACATCTGTTCATCTTTATGCAGGTGATGCAAGTGCACCGAAAGAAAAATTCAGTACTAATTACTCATATTTTCTTCATTTTCTCAACTGAATTTTTCTGGTAAAAATGATTGAATAGGGAGAGGAATATTTAGTAAAAATTACGGAACTTTCAGTTCACTTACTGATTACGGAGTCGATTCGAAAAATTTACGTGACGGTATCGTAATTTTCACCGATAATTCAGATAAAAATTACTGAATAATTCCGTAAAATTTCCGACAACCACATGTCGCTCCAGAATCACGGAAAATCCACGTAATTTTTATTGAATATTTCTCTCTGTGAATGATCAATTTACTCTAAATTTTATAATAAAACTTTGATCCTAGAACTCACCCTGAGAATTAAACAAACAATGAAATTTCCAACCTGTTTATTATTTCTATGAAATAAAATTATCATCCCGTGTCATTACCAAAATATTCAATTGCAATTTCCGAGTAGTGCTCGACAATTGGTTCCATTCGGCGAACAATTACACCCCCGTCTAAGAATTAGCCATAAAAAATGGAGAGTGTTATATTATCTGGGAGAGTAACAGCTGTGAGGCAGGGCGATGTTTTTGGCAGGTATAATCCTAATGTCGGCGGATCAATGGAAGGATGTCGCGGTGTCGCGAGATAGGATCAACGTTTTAGAAGGATAAATATAAGGAGCAGGGACAATGCTCACCAAGAGTCAGAATAAGAATATCTATAGGTAGATGTGGATGCTAGCACGCCCCCAGGTTGCTGAAGGAGAGAGTTGGCGGTAGCGGTGACATCAATGGGTCTCTCCCACAGGGGATACAAGATTACCTGGTCCCAGGTATATACAGAATTCAAAAGGTCCCTGCTATACTTACCTCTCGTATCTTTGACTTTAAAAACGACGGGATACGCTTAATAGACCCAGAAGATGAGGCTTGTTTAGACGTTTGTGGTAAACAGAGCGACAACGCCTGATTTATGCTCTTTTTCGGCTTTTTTTTTGGGCCCCCCTCTTCTTTTTTCTCTTTCCTCTTTGTCGCAGAAGGGGAAAATGAAACACACCGCTTTTCCAAAGGACCAGGGTGGTCCAGTCACTTGTAAAATTCAGAAGGCACATCGTGATCCTCTTGAGAGATATTTCCAAATTACGTCGTGAATTGATTGACTTTTTATGCACAAGTCGTGCCCTCAAATAATGACGAAACAGCTGCCACCGGAGGTGATTTTAACGGTGAAGGGTTTTTCATCAAGATTAACCCTCCACAGAGCATGGATATCACTTATTCATAAGTTCTGACCCAAGCCATCTGGTTGCATCGATGAATTTCATTGTTTCTGGGGTTTCGGATAATACAATAAAATAAAATAAAAAAATAAAATCCTTGGACAATGGAAAATGGGACTGACAATTTTGGGATTTATTTTGTTTAGTTTGACTTTCGTTGATTTTTTTTTTGTAGCGGTAGTTTTGGTGACTCTGTGGATGAATAAAAAAAGAAAACGGGTATCATCCCTTTGAGATTTGGGGAGGTTCTCATTGAGGTGTTGTGTACACTTTCATCTCTCGGGAGGATTTCACCGAGATCTATTCCGATGTATCGCGACAAATGGTTACGGGATCTTTGTATCGCGCCGAATTGTATAGGCGGGCTTTTTTTTTTTTCAAGGCTGAAGTGAATACTCCATTTATGTTGGGTGAATGCGACCGCCCTGGATATACCAACATAACGCCGACATGTTGGTGAACAATTCATTTCGATGAAGATTTACGATCCGGCATTCGGCTCTGGCGCTCATGCATTCGATCGTTAGACGATTCGCGGGGATTGACATCAATATCCAACATCAATAATCATAATAAATACATATTATTATTTATTTAACACTAACTTCTATGGATGATCGATAGTCGGGATTTTTCCAATTACCCATGAGTCTAGTATCTGGTGACTTCCAATCGATGAAATTTTCATTTATCATTGTCAGCTTTTCGAGATTCCCAAAGAAAATCCACGAAAACATACCCTCTGCTATTCTCCAGTGAACACTGACAACTAGACAGTGAATCTCGGTTGAAAAATAGAATTAATAAAAAGGAATGATGGGATTTGTTTCCACTGGACGATCTAACGCCTTCTCACCTGTGAATGGTCTCTCTTTTTTTTTTATTGTGAAAAGAAACAGTTGCTCACGTATTTCTTATTCATGTTAAATTTTTTGCTCGACACTGACATGGAGGTTATAGATTCAACATGACGGGATGCGCAAGTTGAAAAAAGCCCTGTCCCACGCCCGCAAAGGCACAACGACTCATGAACGAATCGAGTCAGGCATCAAAGATACAACTACATTCGTAAACTATCGGAATCATGTGTCTCGAGTGGAAAAGGTGGTGACAAACGAAAATCCACCTTTTGTCGCTAGAGAAGAAGTGAAATCGATTTCTTTGAAGTACAACCGAAATGACCCTGGACCGTCGGTCACAATGCCGGAGTCATTGGTAAAAAATCGAGTGAAAAACCCGTCGAAATGTCAAGTGAGAAAATGCAGGGGTATTAAAGCAAGGGATACAGAGGCCGACAGGCTTCGTCAACTGATCATGAAAGTTAAAGAGCTTAAGAAAAATGTTGACGAGTATGAGACCATAAAGATTACTCAAGCCACGGAGTCGTGCCATGTGCAGCCGTCGGTTGAAAAAAGCACTCAGACTGCCGTAGATGATACCCAGAGTGCCTTAATTGTCCTCCACCATTGCCAAGATGAAATGATGAAGCTCCAGGAGTTCCTCCAGGACGCGTCCAGACATTTGGAGAACCCCACTGGCGCATGTTGTGAAATTGTAACGCCTCATGTTCACACTTTTGTCGATGGTTTATCAGCTGTCATTAAATATTCCGTTGATAGAACACCGCATCATGAATTACCATCGACATCGTATGAACCGCGGAATTATGACGCCATTTCCTCGGATAAGGGAAATCATAACCTCAGGGTGTGCCCTCGGACGATAACCACTGCGGCTAATGAACCTGAGGATAATTCCAGATCAGAAACATTCGTCAGTGAAAATACTCCGGGATTTAGGGTAATGAAGAAGTAGGAGATAGTCCTTTGCGCACTTCAACTCGTTAGATTAAACAAAACAATAAAAAAAAAACAAGTAATACCTATCTGTTGACAGCTGTACACGTTTGAGAGATTAAATTAACGAATTGGAGTTTCTAATAGTTTTAAATTATGGTCGTGTCCATAAAATAATCACATAAATTCATGAATTCACTTGGGTGGGCTATCCTCTGACATTATCGATTGAATTTATCTGTCTCCACTATTCAAATTGGTAAATCATTGGTATCCCCGAAATATGGTAGATAATTCGGCCGAGGCACGAGGAAATATTTCAAGCTGCCATTATTCAGAAATTATCGTCTTCGCTGGTTGAGGGAGAGAATTCAACAGACATTCAACTGCAGGCAAAAAAAACATGGGGTCTGTATATAGATTGTGAAAAGATCAAGGTTAGTTGAAAATTTAAAAAAAAAATGATCAATGATGGAAATCTCCGGTGTGGAGGATTTAGATATGGATAAAATAATCATTGTCGTAAGATGTTCACCACCGAGATACGCTAGCCAATTGCCCATGGGTTCCAAGACTATTTTAACCCTGAGGGAACCTGCGGTCTTCAGGACTTCCGATTTGACTTCAACCTCGGATTACACCGATGACACGTCTGATGATGACAATTCGGATCACGAGACACCGAATCACATACGGAAAAGTAAAGTTCCTCATTGATGATAATAAATTAATTCCAAAGTTACTTGTCAATTATTTTGTAATTCAGATGGATTTCTAGGGATATTAAATCTCCGGAATCTGTTGTACAAGTAATTCATACAATTGGATACGAAACACAAGTGAGGATTATTTTGGAAATAATGGTATTGCTCTGAGAGAGAATGATTTCTCAAGGAAGTGATAATAATTATTTGATTGAGCAGTCATTCTCTTTTGGAGATGATTGACAGGCGAAATGCTGAGGAAAATGATTATTTGACAGTGGCAGCAAGATGGCGGAGATGCTGGAGGGGAATCCGAGAGAGATGTGCCAACCTATCCTGTCTCCGAAAGGATAAAAAATCAGTTGAGAATAATTCGAATGCCATTGCTCCATCCATACCCCAAGAAATTGAGATACAGTCGGTCAAAGTACAAGAGGCTCGACAGGTTAAGCCTTTGGTGTCATCAACTCAATCATCGGCTGCTACCAGACAATCTCCAACCACTTCCAATACGGATAATCTGTCCGACGAATCACTCACTATTATTCACAAACGTAAATTTTCCCACCGGCGAAAATCCACTAGGCAATGCCTGTCAAAATGCTCCGAGACAGCTAGGCTCAACATTGACAGCCCATCCCAAAAGTGTCAACGAAAGAGGCGAGTTTTTTGCTCTCTGGCCGAAGACTTTGTTCAGGGATTCTTATAAATTTAAAATTTCTTTAGAGTGAAAATTGAATTTTGTCAACACGGAGCTCAATGCAAAAATGCTAAATCAGGGTCTAGAGGGAGTTATCGCCAATTTATCGACAGAACGAGGAAGAGCTTTCAGGGGTTTCAGAGTGATACACTAGGGTATTTTAAAAGGGCCAGAGATAGGTATGACAGTTTGTCGTTGACAGCTAGACAATCTCTTCGGCGTCCTTGGAGACAAAGTGGGGGAAATATGAATATTTGTGCGGCCGAGAGGCCGTGCTGTCAGTGCGGCCGGATTCAAGGTCACTCACAAGGTCAATCGCAGATTAATGCCAATATTTATCAAATTTGTGAGTGCGATGACAATCCGATGAGAATGAAGGATCACTTGGTGTCATATTGCGCTTGTTCTGTTGATCTCTGTGGGAATGGCTCCTAAAAGATTATTATAAATTCAATTTAATATATGGAAAATCGAATATTATTACTATATATTATTGGATTCCTTTGAGCCCTCTTTCTCTTTCTCTCTCTCTATAAACCTTTTCTCCTAGACATTATGTTATTTTATCACTTGGACATTTTTACTACCGCGTCCAGTGGTGTCTGGTGTGTACAACCTATTTGCTGGGCATTAGCGTGGGATTGGTTGTAAAGCCTCCAAAGGGGACATAACGGTTTTAAATATATGTATTAGATACATATGTATTCGGCCATGTGCATTCGACCACTTGACGCCTTCACGAGGAGATCCTGTGAGAATCCATTTGTCTCTTCTCGAACGGCTCCATAAAATAATTAGAATAATCAAAACGATGTTTTTTTTTTAAACGATTTGAATGATGACAACAACAAGTTATTTTAATCGAATTCCTACAGAAAATCTCGTTGGAAAAAATCTTAGATCTTTTTTCATCGGATACCCCATTGCGCCTTGTAACTTGAAATATTACCGACGCTAATTGGCCATTTTGAGGTCCAAGTGTGAGTAAAAAAAAAAGTAATTTGGGTATGAAAAATGAATAGAAATGGTTGTTTTTGTGTTGAGTAACGCCAATGTCACGAGTATTAAATCCCAAATATATTCTGTATACTATGAATTAATCAACCCCGTGCTCATTTCGCATTTTCAACTCAATATCTTCTTTCTAAAGAACAACTCGTTATTATCGGTACTTCTCTTTTCCGCAAAGAAAAATAAAATTGAAATTAACAGAAACAGAATCGCCATAAAGTCCGTCGGTGTCTGCACACTCGGTGCCCCGTAATTTTCCGCTCGTTAACCGTATTTGAATCACCTATTTTATGTTTCATTTTTTTTTTTCTCCACCATTTTCTCTATCTAAACGATGGGCAACGACTGGGTCACAGGAATTGCGGATTGATTTCACCGAGTGTTGGGTGAATATAAATATTGGTGAAGAGCTCGGGGAGTTGTGAGAGTGGGGCAAAGGGGGGAGGGGGAG